CAAACAAAAAAAGTTAAAAAGAAAAAAACAACCAGGAGAGCAGAAAGATTTCTGAGCAGCAGTCAAGACAAGCTTTTATACCATCAGTGGCATTGACAGCACTCTATCAGTGCACATGTGGTACAATATGGCAAGCAGTGTGGCAGTGAACCTTAGGTTCTTCTTAAGAAATGACCCACTAGTCAAGTGACACAATTATTTCTACAGGCCTGATTTTAAAAACTACAGTAGATACATAAAACAGTAGTCTGGGCTTACTTATTTATATTTATGTTTCACTTCAAATTAAAGGATTTTATCTTGCTCAGTTATCAACCTAGTTTTGGAAAAGGTGTGAGGGCCACAATGTGCCAACAGAAGTTGCCTTAAAAAAGATCCTTGCGGGAGGCGTGGTCAACATGGTGGACTAGTTAGACGCTTCCTATATCCCTCTTACAACAAAGACCTGGAAAAACAAGTGATGTGATTCTATGTGAACATCTGACAGCCATGAACAAAGCAAGGTTAAAAAACCCATCTGAGTCATACCAGAGAGGAAGATCGTTTGGAAGAGGTGAGGAGCGCTAGAGCCGCGGCAGCGACACAGCAGACACACAGCCATGCCGGGCTGCAGTGAAGCAGGCAAACAGCTGTGCTGTGCAAGCGCTCGAGAAGCAGTTTCCACATTGAGACCCAGCAGCAGAGATTCTGCTTGGACACTCCAAACCAGTGAAGAGCAGCTCCCAAGAGGCTAGGATAAGTACATGCACGCACCCTTTCGTGGCGAGTTAAAAAAACCTCTCCCTTTTACCTATCTCTGCGCTCTGCACCAGATTTGGGGAAAACCTCTCTCCCTTTTATCTCTTACCTCCACGCTCTCCACCAGATTTGGGAAAAACTTCTCCTCCTTTTACTGCGTCCCTCCCTGCTCTGCACCAGGAGTCCACCGGGACAGAAATAGATCCCAAAAGGCGCCCTGACCCACCCTCCTGGCCTTGGAGAGGGAACAAATAAGCTGCTGGCTCCCCTAGGCCAGGAGCACAGCGTCGGCACAACTCCTTTGCTGGCCATAGAAATCAGGGGTCCGCAGACTCTGAGTGCCATACACCCCTGTATAGAC